TTAGTATCTAGGTAATCTAGAGTCTCCTTGGTAATAAGGTCATTTAAAAATGCCTGATGTATGATGGACAGATATTCTATTTTATGACAGTTTAGTGTTTCCTTGGAGATGGTCTGATACCATTGTTTATTTGAGAGAATTTTATAGCACATATTTTCGTATTGTATTTTTGTTTGTATTACTATGTTTCCGCCTTTATCTGCCGGTTTATTATAATAATATAATAATTATTATAATAAGTCGGATTCTTGGATTCCTTTTGGTCCCAACTCTTGCTCTTTGCAGAGGGGTTGTGGATTTTAGGGGGTGATTTTAACCTAGTGACGGACCATTCCATAGACTCGTCATGCCCAAAGGAAGTGCATCAAGTGGCCATCATCAATACTACTCTAGGACATATTTCTTTGTGTTACAACGTGCGGTTTGTACCCCTAAACTCTAAGATCTCCATTGGCACCTCGACTCGTTCGAACCATTCCCCTATCCACTTGAGTCTAACTGTGGGTGAGAGAGCTCGCTCACGGTTTACATGGCGTTTGAATTTATCACTTCTGCAAGACTCTGTGTTTGCAGCAGAAGTGCAGTCTAATTTATCCCGCTTTTTTCAGGAGAATGATTCCCCTTCCCAAAATCCGCTCACCTTATGGGAAGCACACAAATGAGTGATCAGGAGCACCCTTATCAAATTGGGGTTGCGCCGCAAGTGTCAACGCTTGAAAAAAGTGGAGAAGCTGTATGCAAGGCTGCGGGAGCTGGCGCTCCGTCATAAGGCGGCCTTGACTGTTGAGACTTTTGCATCTTTTAATAGAACGAGAGCGGCGCTCAAGGAGCTTCTGTTGGATAGGGAAAGGCAAAGGTGGCAAGGTCTCACCATTCTTTTTACGAATTTGGGAATGAACCCGGGAAGCTTCTGGCCAATGCCTTGAGAGATTCTCATTCCCGCACCTTCCATTCGGGTGGGTGATGGTAAGCTGGTTTTGCGGTTGGGTAAATGGCAACCCAATTCAACTCTTTCTTTGCAAAGTTGTACAATCTGAATTCCGTTCAGCGGGCGGATGGTCCTCCCTTGTGTATTCAGGCGATTCTGGAGTATTTGGCCAACTCTGGGATGCCACGTTTGTAGGATTCTGATAGTCAGGCCTTTGAGGGGCCCATTTCTGGGGAGGAGTTTGAGAGTTCCCTAAAAGCTATGAAGCCTGTGAAAGCCTCTTCACTACTAGAAGCAGTTCCGCGATCTCCTCGGGGGTCGGTTCGTTCGGTGCTGGAGCTCTTTACCCAGGGATTCTCTGAGGGATAGATTACGGTTCTTCCAAAGGAGAGGAAGGACATGTCCAATTGGGCGAGCTATAGGCCCATTTCTTTGTTAAATGTTGACCTTAAATTGTTTACTTGCATTCTTGCTTTTAGTTTACTCCCATTTATAGGTGACCTTATAAGTCAAGATCAGATGGATTTTGTCCTGGGCCATGAGGCCTGGGACAATACCATCAGGACTGTTAACGTGATTCATGTGGCACGGTCCTGGTCGCAGCTCCTTCTCTTGCTGTCTTTGGACACGGAGAAGGTTTTCGACAGGGTGAATTTGTAGCATCTACGGAAGACCTTGGCCCATGTGGGGTTGGGGGTTCATGAGAGGTGGTGGATTGGCTTGTTGTACTCCAACCCCTTGCACTGAGCAGACATTCAGAATATGCTGCCTGGCACAGAGTGACAGCTTGAGGTGGGGTGGGCTGGAGCTATGGCTGAGAGGGAGCTCCATCCATACATGCATTGCTTAGAGCTCCCTAGCATGCCCTGGATTCATCCTGCATTCAGCCTAAAGTGCCACTTTCCTATTGGTCGAATCAGGGCCGGACTGGCCATCGGGCATACCGGGCACTTTCCTGGTGGGCCGGGCTGAACACAATCAGCCTAATGTTCGGCCCGTCCCGGCCCGCTATTCCCGAAGCTGTTGGCCGCCGAAGGGTGCGGGGGCGAGATGGTTCCGTCGGATGAGCTGCGGAGGCGATCGTGGCAGGCAGTGCAGAGATCCTCACAGCTGTGACCCGTCCTGTCAGCTCTCTCTCCTCCCGGCTGCTGCAGCTACAGAGTGGCCGGGAGGAGAGAAAGAGAGCTGACAGGAGGAATCGCAGCTGCGGGGACATCAGCACAGACACTGTACTGCCACGATCCTCTCTGCAGCTCAGGAGGAGAAAAGCCAATGTTCTATCGAAAGTTCCAACTTCTGAGATCCCCAACGACCTGACTTACTTAGAAGTGAGAGAATCGGCCAAGAAGGCTCTACTGCACGTGGGCCACCCGCGGCATTTCAAAAATACACATACTACAGATTTTAATAAATATTAAAATGAACTAGGGTCAAACTAATCCAGGACGTTATTAATCTGAATAGCCGCCGCTCGCGCACATATTGAGTGGGGCACTCAGATTAATAACGTGCTGGATTAGTCTGATCGTAGTTAATTTTAATACTTTATTGCTCTGTAGTATGTGTGTAGGGAAATGCTGGCCCACGTGCAGTAGAGCCTTCTCGACCAGACCTCTTACTTCTAAGTAAGTCAGATCAGTGGAGATCTTGAGGAGTTGGAGTTTTCGACAGGACACCTGCTGCCTTTCCTGAAAGCCCGCTGAATAGTCGGGCTCCTCGGTGGCCACCTGCAACTTCCTCCACCCACTTCAGCTGCCATAGGTTGGGAGGAAGACTGCAGGGCTACCATTGGCAGAGAAAGAGCGGGTCTTGAAGTGAGGGCACAAGGATGCAGCTGGGCATCATGCTGGACTAGAGGCTACACCTGAGACCAGAAACCCCCACCGCTGGCCTCTGCACTGTAAGTCACACTGCTGACCTCTGCACTGTAAGTCACATCGCTGATCTCTGTGTCACACTTTTGACCTCTTCACTGTAAGTCACACCGCTGCCCTCTACACTCTGCATCACACTGCTGACCTCTGCAGTCTGTGTCACACCGCTGACCTCTGCACTGTGCGTCACAACACTGCACTCTGCGGCACACCACTGACCTCTGCACTATAAGTCACACCGCTGACCTCTGCGTCACACTGCTGTACTCTGCATCACACCTCTGACCTCTGCGTTGCACCACTGACCTCTGCGTTACAAGTGACCTCTGGACCTCGGCAATTTAATTTTTCAAATTGATTCGACTGTGTTAGGTCCCGCGCAGCAGCCTTCTGGGGAACCACGCGGCACCTTCTTACAGGGCTTCCGCCAGCTGCCCATCTTCCCCTCCTGAGACCCTTTGCCCGAGACTTCAGGCTGGTACCCCAGAGCAGAGCGCCAGCATTCAGCATGTGAATGGTTAGCGTGGTTTTTTTTTTAGTTTCATTGAGGAGGAGGTCATATGCAAAAGGAAAACCGACGGGTCATCCAGCAGAGCCGTTATTACCAATCGGTTTATCACCGACCTCACAGAATCCCATTTTCGGAACATTGCCAAGAAATATGGTACATGGTACCAGGTGCCTGGTTATATCTCCAGCAGGTAGGATTTTATGTAAAACAAAAGGGTCATCCATCGGGTCAGTATTTTATAACCCTGCTCCTGGTATTTACTCGCTATGAATGATCTATGGGCAAGGGACAGAACCATGCATGTTGATCCGTGAAGGATCTACCAAACTCAGTCTCCTATTTCTCGATAAACGGAGGGCAGAAGTACGAAGGCGGTGAACAAAGGTGCTTGTAAATAAAAGAGAGGGAATGGCGAATCAGTACTCCCTGGTGACATACAAACTCAAATGTCGTGGGCCTCCGTGACAGCTCCCGCACCCCAAACACAGAGACAAGAAAATGTCGGAGCTGGATTGCACTCCACTTATCCAGCTGTGGAGAAAGTAAATTACAAATAGAATCCTGAGACAACCACGAGTGTTCGAAGATAAAGTCTAGCAACCGGAATTTGCGTGTGGTCAATAGGTGACGGACATGACTATTCTCTAACCCTGGAGATAAATCTGGATCCCCGATCACCGGAGTCATCAGTGATGGAGAAGGAGAAATATCAGAAGTCAGAAAGGAAGTCTGCACAGCCGATATAGACTGAGCAATTAGAGGACGGGAAGAGATCTCCGAAGGTATCAGAGTGGAAAGGCATGGTTTAAAAGGGCACCAGAATTGATCTTGACTATGCTTTCCCCTAATTTCTGACCCATTGAACACCCAGAACCTGCTTGTCCTGACCTCACTTGCAACCTACCTTCCCTGACCTCTGCTGTGTTCCTGGCTATGTATTTGCTTCATAATTTTGATGCTGGATTTTAGTTATCCCCAGCAACCATAAGGCAACTCTGCTTTTCTACCTTAATGGATTTCTGACCCTTACAGCCTCATATCTGACCCTGATGCCTCATATTTATATCTCTATGACTGTCTTAAGTCATTTGAGTTATGAGATGTCTAGGGATAGTAAATCAACTACAACTAGACTTCCAAAGTGTTCATCTAGGTGCAAGAAGAGCTAACAACACATAAACCAGTTTTAAAACAACTGCTGCATATATCAAGTTAAGGCAAAGTAGATGTATTCCTACCGAACAGATAAATGTATGACTGAATGATTCAATGAATAAACAATGATACCATGGATACTGGACGGATATAGGGGAAACCTCCTACCCCCAAGGCCTGTTCCACCTACTTTGGGGACATAATATTAGCATTGGGCTGGTGCTTTAGGAGGTAGGATCTTATTTTTTTGGCCTTTCTCTTGTGCATATCCTGCACTCGTGGGCATATGGGCTGATATTGCACACCAACCAGGATCACATCTCCCAGTTAATGTGAAATTGGTATACATGCTTAGTATTGGAAGTGGAACACATTATTTAATTTATTTATTTTAAAAAATAAATATTCTTACAAATAAAATAAAATGCAGATTAGTTTATTTATGACAAATGCTACCTTTAGTATCTCTAGAAATTAGTAATATGTGTTATTTTAGATGTTAATAGCACTGTTTTATTCTTCTCTGTTCTAGCTTGGAATGTTTCTTTTGGAAAACAGAAACAAGTTGCCATAGTAAGCTCAGTTCTAGGAACTGTTGGGCTATCTTTGTCTGGTATAGCAATTGTATATATATTAAATTACCTTCGTAAAAAAAGTAAGTAACCTTTTAAACAGATAATGTACAATGTTTGTATAAAAGTTGTTACATGAGAATCATTAAACTGACTTTTATTTTGTTACATTATGTGGGTATCAAATGTGTTTGTTGTATGATGCTAACAGATGCTTACATTCAAATGGTGCTAAATTCTTATGCAACTGCAAATGAGGAGTCTCACTTTTTGAACTGCTTAGGAGAAATTTTCTTTTAAAAAAACCCACTTTTTTTTACTTAGCGGGTGACGTTTTTTGGGGGGGTGTATTCAGGGTAGTTTAGTGTTCACTAAATTTTTGTTTTTGTTCATATTAGATCATTATTTCTGTATTGTTGCTTTACATTTTTTGAATCCTTAGTTGGCTGTCTGTTTTTTTCTTTCTGTAAAAAACAATGAACTTAATGTGGAGTCTTTTTTGGTACAGGAACAGGTATGGGACAGATGAAAGGAACCACAAAAAAAAACACTTTATTTTCACTTTTCCCAATGAATTTTGCCAAAATGGCAACATTTCAAGGAAACCATCTAGTTTTTACCTATATATTTTAGGGAAATTAACTCTTAATTTAATTTGAATATCTGCAGCTCAATCCACTGATTAGAAGAGAGGGAATTTTGAAAATTCGAATTCATATAAAGCAAAAGGATGTAAATTCAAAAATTATTGTGGATGGGTGCATACCTTTTAGTAAAGATGCTCGTATTCTCACTTATGTGTATTGTGTTCACTTTTAAATAATAGCACCACAGCTACAGTATTGCTTCAGATTCTCCCTTTTTCCTATTCTCTTCACTATCATACATCAGGTCCCTGAGAATTCATTCTATAAATTATGATTTAATGTAGCACCTGGCAACTAGGAAAGAAACATAGTAGACTTTTTAAACCAATGGGACTAGCATTGTGCTAGAAATGCTAAGACATTTAATGGGTTAAAATAAAACTTAAAAATAAAATACTTTAATATTGTTGCAGAACAACGTAGATTCCATTTCATTTGGTTTTTTTTTAACAAACGTAATAGGATAATAAAACATTTTTTTTCTGTAAAGTGTTTAATTATAACATTTCTCATGTCAATGTTCTGTTCTTTTTTTCAGAAAAAGAATGTTCCTATATCATAAAAACAAACAAGTAAGCACAACCAGTGTGTTTAAACTTCTATAAGTGAATTAAACTACAGAGTATTTGTTGAAAACATGGAAAACTATTTAGGAAAAAAATCCTAGGAAACATGATCTAATGTTAGCAGTATCTTTTAGGGCCAGACCAGTGCGGGTTTTTTTTAAGCTTTACCAAAAATGCATGCACAGTAATTCCAATAGTTTTAAATGAGGCTGGTTCACACTATTGCATTCAGTTACAGAGCATTTTTTTAAAAAAAAGCACAGCAGCATGCATTTTTTTCGCACTGAAATGCACAAAAACACATGTAAACACATTTAAACACACTGGAAAGCACTTAAAACCCAAGCAAAAAAAGCAGTGGAACGCACCAAAATCACGTCACAAAACGCATCTAAGCGCATATGCAGACATGTATCCAGATCTGTTCTAGAGATGGTGTGAACAAGCCCTTAAACTATAGTTATTTTACCTATTTTGTTCAGAAATATATGTTGTTTTATCTAAATGAATGAAGTATATTTAATTATATCTCACAATTTACACACATAAAAAAAGCACCAATGCAAAACTAATGATCTGTCACTTATCACAATGTATGTAAAAATCAGTAGAGCTGCTCCTAGCAATCAATCAGGATTAATATTTTAAGTAAAATAAATAAGAATTTACCTGATTCCTAGGAGTGAGGCTAAAATAGAAAAAGTCTCCATGCAAGTTTGTATTGTAGGTCTTTACCTTCTACTGTTTGGTTAGGAACTCACACTTGTATTTACTCACTTCCTCTATCCTGTGCTCTGAGTGGGAAACAGTGGGGTACTTGATGGGGCAGGAGTGGGGTTAATTCACATGACAGCAATGTACCTGCTCGGTACAGACCTTAGATGTAGAGCGGCAGGGAACAAAGGGTAGTTCTTCCTAGTTCTTTCTTGGTTCTGATGTATCACATAACATAAAACCAAAAGGAAGCCTGGGAGAACTTCAAATCATCTTGCAGAGGGCATTGTTCTGAATCTGAGGTCTGGTAAGTGCTTTGCGGAAGAACATTGCTGGCTAAGAAGGAGGATATTTTTCCTAGGGGGGAGGTAGGGGATGATTTATATTGGTGGTCAGTGTATAATTTACCATTACTTTGATGGTCAGTGTAAATGCGCCCCTTACATTGGTTTCCAGTGGGAGAAGAAATGCCTCCTTATATTGGAAGGCATTTCCCCTTTACATTGGTGGTCAGTAGGAGAAGGGCTCCCCTTTGTTCACTGAAACAGTCTGGCGGGCCTCCAACCTGTAAGGTTCCATGGCCTGTCAGGGCAGCCCCTGTGTATTCACAAAGGCTGAACAGGCAGTAGATCTACCCATATCTCTGGCTGAACTGCTGGTCCTTGTGTTTCAGTAATTTGCAAGTCACAGACCCAAACAAAATATAGATCAGGACTTTCCTGATCTACATACTTGTTCTGGGTCTGCATCTCAGGATAGTATAAATGACAGAAACTGTCAAACAACTATCATTCTTAACAAGTGCAGCACAGGATCATATCTAACTGTCATATAATCATGCCAGTTCGGTAAAACATTATTGAGTAAAATTCAGGGTTTTGATAAGCATGGGAATAACAGAGGTGTGATTTCACAGTGACAGAGGGATACAATTAGAGTAATATGGTTCTTCAAACAGAGGTGACTTGACAATATGTCAGCAAAAAAAAATGGCAATCCCAACAATGCATGGGCTACAAATGGCAATTATTTACAATACAGTAATTGCTTGCAATACACAAATGAGCAATCACTACAATACAAGTACAGCAAACAGGCAATTGTGACAAAATGTGGGCAACAAATTGGCAATCGTAACAAGTTGTGAGCAACAAATGGCAATCATTACAATACACAGGCAACGAACAAGCAATTGTGAAAATAGCCAGGCAGCAAATGGGCAACTGTTATAATATGTGGGCAACAAATGGACAATTTTGACTAGGGATGCATCAGTTTTCGGTATCGAGTACGAGTACCAATACCGGTGCTTCCGCAGGTATGGAGCAAGCTTCCTGGGCAATCAGGAAGCCAGGCGGTGTGTAATGACATGCCGCCCAGTTTCCTGATTGCCCGGGAAGCCGGCTCCATATTGTTTGGCCAGCTTGATTGTGATTGGCTGGGAAACTAGCTTCCCAGCCAATCAGCATCAAGCTGTCTTGCCGGCCAATCAGGAAGCCATGCAAGGAGTAATGAGCTGCTTCCCAGCTTCCTGATTGGCTGGGAAGCTGGCTCCATGCTGATTGGCTGGAAAGCTGGCCTCCTGACCAATCAGCATGGAGCCGGCTGTTCGGGGAGTCTGTCTTCCGGTTAGTGGCGTAGCATGGGGGGGCACTGGTATGAAGGGGGTGCCAGCAGGGCTGAATTTCCTAGGAAGTTCGTGGGCGTCGGGCAAACCCCGCCCCGCCGGCTACCTCTCTCGTCGCCAGCCGGGGATAATCTGTCACGATGTAGAGCGGGGAGCTGCTTCGTTTAAACAGTGAGGGGAGAGCCTCTACTTGCAGCCTTCCCCGCAGTTGTCAAAGGAGTTCTAGCACGTTGCTGTGCTAAAACTCCTGTATTGGAGGTGACAGGTTCAATAAAGAGAGCCTGTCACCTCCAAATGATCTCACAAAGAGGCTTGTTAGCTCCTGTGTGATAGCAATAAAGTTATGTAAACAAAAAAAATCATAAATTGGAAAAAAAATCGATAGATTATAAAATAAATAAACAAAAAAATATGTAAATAATATGTAAATAATAGTAATTAAAATAAAAAAGTTAAAAAAGTTAAAAAAAAAGATAAGATTAAAACATAAAGAGTAACAAATAATATAAAAAAATGCTAAAAAAAATTAAAAAGTAAAAGATAATAAGATAAATACAAATTTTAACCCCTTCGTGACGGGAGACGTACAGTGTACGTCCCGCCACAAAGGGACCAAATGACTCGTCACGTACACTGTACGTGACGAGTTATTTGCTGCACTAGAAGGCTGGTAACCGCTGAGAATCTGTTTGTTACTTTGATGGTCTCCTTGGTCTTTTCGCTGCTACTTTTGATCATATATCATCCTCCAGTTGCTCCACAGAAGTCGTTGCTGTCACAGATGATTCCTAACTATATTTGATTATCTTCCACCGATCCACCACTCACTTTTTCGTTTATTTTTCGTTTGACATTTCCATCATTGTTACCACTCACATTTTTTATCAATTTTTTTGTATTATTATAAGTTGCACCATAACTTACTTATATTTGTTGTTATTTTTGTCACAACCATTTCTCACCATTATTTTTCTTTCCGTCATAACATTCTTGCACCTTATTCTGATTATTGTTTGACGGTTCCCACTTATCCACACACTAATTTTTGTATTTACTATACTAAAGATCTTTGTGTTCTAGGGCTGTGTGAAGACGCAGCTCTTCCTATGCAATATCCATTTAAGAACACCTAATTCATCACATTTAGAAATTTTCCGATAACTGATTAGGTAATATATAATTATATTATTGGTTTAACCTTTAGCGCCCTGTTTTCCACTTCTCATCTATTATCAAGGTGGTTTATCCCCTTCATCTCATAGCAGGTTTAGGCTTAAGTTTAATTTAGGTAGCTCCAGGAGCGCAGAATTTGTCTCTCTTAACCATTCATTAATGGATGCCTCAGTATAGAGGCATCCATTAATGAAAGGGTTAACCTTTTTCAGACACCCGATACCTTAATATCGGGTGTCTGAGAGTCAAAGCAGGCAAAAGCCGGCATTCTGACAGCTCGTATAGATCGAGAGATATCTCTCTCAAGCTATACTGGCTTTTTTTTTCCACTTTCAGGAATACGGTAGATACATAATGTATCTATTCCTGAAAGAAGAATGTTTCAGTTTTCTGATGTTGGAACAATCAGATTTTTTTTAACGTTTTTTTTCTCTTTTTTTATATTTTATTTGTCCTAAGTGAGGCGTTAGACACACATATGTGATATAAATATGTAGCCCTATCTGTCCTCTAAAAAACAATATATAATATGTGTGGGTGCACTTTGTAAGAAAGTATATTACTGACGTGGAAGAATCACACAGCAAAAATTTCAAAAGCGTGTCAGTCATTTACGAACAGAAACTAAAAACAAGCTCAGTCATGAAGGGGTTAAAAAAGTAAAGAAATAAATAAAAATTGAAAAAGTGATACAGTTAAAAAAATAAAGAAAAAATTAAAACTAACCCTGCCGCCCCCCACCATCGGGTTGCCGTTCTCCATTGGGGGTGGGGGAGGGAGTAACATAGAGGAACCTGGCCTTGGGGCAACAGAGAGAAAAAATCCCGCCCTGGGCGCCGGTCTGGAAGAGGTGCCACTGGCTACCGCTCCCTTCGCTGCTCTGCCAGGCCGGCCACACTGAGCTATCATGGCAGGAAAGCAGTGTCTGCACTAAGCTCAGTAAAGTTAGGCACCCACCTCAGCACATGCTGAGGCCTCACAGCTGCCTAGTTTTTGTGATTACAGGGCCAAAGGTTCAGCACCAGCAGCGGGAGAAACACAGGAGGAGAGGTGAGCTTTGTTTGGGGGAGGGGTGCGAAAGAAGTAGGGGTTCAGTGTACACAGAGGTGGTGAGAGAGGTGGGCACAGTGGCAGGGGGAGAGCTGGAGGAGGGTCAGTGGACACAGTTGGTGGTGGGTGAGGAGAGAGGTGGGTAAAGTGCCACTGGAAGAGCCAGTCGGGGTCAGTGGACACAGAGATGGTGGTGGAAGACGAGAGAGGTGGCTCAGTGGCAGGGGGAGAGGCGGGGGCTCAGTGGACACATAGGCGGTGGGGGGAGAAGAGAGACGTGGGCAAGTAGAGAGCCTCCCAAGGCTATCATCGGTGGCAGCAGCAGCAGGAGGTTCATAGGGGAATAGGTCAGGTGAGCTCTATACCCCATAGCCAGGATGAGAAGTCAAGTGAGCTTTGTACCCACAACTGGGATGAGAAGTCAGGTGAGCT